TCTTAACCCATAGAAAATCATTGTTCATTGTTCCATTGATTCCGGTTTCGCGCCATATCATCGAGCCCTTGGCAATTCTCATCCTTGGGCCCCCAACCAGTAAGAGGTACAGGGTTAACGATAACGAGACAGCGGGTAAGCGATTTCATGGTTTGGCGCCAAATGGTTGGCTGACCTCCACACACCTTCTCTTCCAATTCAATAGCGTGTGAGCAAGTAAGGCGCGACATGTTAAGCTCTCGCATAACATACGTAGAACGGGGTTAAGCCAAGTCAATTGACGCATTGCACCAAGTCGATCAAGCAGAGAGCTCGTGTTTCCCACGGCTCAACACCGGACTTCATAAATAAATAACAATTTAATGCTCGACAGTTCGAGGTACCCCTTATAGACATGCTCATAATAATACAAACAGGACTGATAGATAATTATGCAGAAATGTAAAATTACTAGCAATGTACGGGTCTATGTGCATATATGTATATGAATGTATGTGCACCATGCAGAGGCTGACGTTGCATTCATAATGCTTCTTCACCGCAGTTGGGCTAAATCAAATTACACTTAAACTGGGTCTTTATAAGCTGGATACATTTCATTCCACTTCATTTGACTAATCTTCTAGTAACTGGCCACGTTGCTTACGCTAATTGTGGTTATCTTCGTTAAGTTTATTGTGTTTGTAGCATATTTTGAGCAACTTCTGAATATTTTGTACTTCCGCGAATTGATTGCTAACCAGCTTACTTCATATGCTAATTTAGGGAATAGTAATGTCTGCATAGCGGTATTCTTTAACAGATATATTTTATTTGATAATTTTTCAAGTGCTTCGCTCTTGTTTGACATCGCTGGTGTGGCTGCGCCTGATGTGCATGTTGACAAGGTGCCTACCTGTCTGTTACCCACTACCTTGTTCATACTGGCTCCACGCGACAATTGGTCGTTGCTGGAGGGGACGGGGGTGCACGGTCCTTGTGGCCGTGCTAGGCCCAATGTATGGTTCCATCCAGTGTGGATCGGTCTACGGCCCAGTCACCGTCTTGTGTGCGTCTGGTGTGCATGATTTCCCAATTAAGCCGGAATGCTTTCATTCTGCTTCTTGTAGGAGTGCGGGCCAGTTTTGTTGGTGAAACGTGGCTCCCATCCACATGCCTCCCGGTCTTATTCCTTCGGGTTTACACTGGATATGGGGTGTGTGTGGTCGGAGGTGTGGGTGGTGCAACGCAAGCCACGCATGTTCCCTCTGTAGGCGCAGGCGTCCTGTGGCTAGCCACGGTGACAGGCAAATCCGAAACCGGATGCCGCCAACCAGATATGAAGTTACGTATCTGTGTAGCCTGAATGTGTTAGTTTGGCGCTGCGATTGATATCGTGTTCCGTCAGGTCGTCGACATGAGAAGGATTCGAAAGAACTCCTTCGTTTGGAGTACTGACGTCTATGCAGCGACGAAGCTGATCCGGATAAGCGAAAGTCAGTGACTATATTTAGTGGCGAGGCACATCCACCACGTAGCAGTGTTATTAAACAGACTTATGTGGCATTTTATAGGGTGAAGTCTTGCCAAGCGTCAACCCACCACGTCCTGGAACACTGCCGTCTAACCATTCGCTGAAGCGGGATTAACTGCAACAACCCAGCTGGCACCACAAGGTAGTTGTTCGACGAGCTCGGTGCTTCTCCCACACACGAGCTATCCGCCATAAACTTGTTTTTTAGAAGGCCGAAAGCCTACGCATGTCGTCCATAGGGATTGACCAGGACTCACTTCTGCACAACGGGACCGCGCAGACAAGCGTTGTGGATAGCTGGACCTGACAAGGTTACATACCAAACTCATACGCCATCGAAACAACTACAAGCAACTGAGTAGACCGCCCCATTCACAAGTGCCTGGACATCCTTTGACGAGGACGCGCAATCCATATTTGCATTGAGCATGCGTCCAGTCCCTCTCACATGATCCTACCACTTCTTATAACAATGTTACCATAATGTTCACGTTTCATGAATCAAACGTTTCCACAAGTACCCCCAACCCTGACGTTCTCAAGTATGTGATTGACATTGCATCTGTGCAGAATAATTACTTCTAACTACTTCTACGGACCAAGTAAAACAAATTTACATTTTCACTAACTATACATGCATTGTGGCTGACACTTCATCACAGCTGTAGTCTTATGCTTATGCCTATCGAGGCGTGCGTCGAGCCTATCGAAAATGTATCTATTTATTTATTTATTTCTCTTTCACACCTTCGCTCCACTTGTCTGCAATTAGTGGGCTTGTTATAAACCCAATTGAGCCAGTCTGTGCGTGTGCGCCTATCAAGTACTGCCTTTTCCACTGCCTGCTTTGACTGATGGTCCTAGGTGAACGGTATTGTTAAGTCATCGTGTTAGCTGCTTGTGCTCCATCTCAATTGGGACGAGTGCGCGTGTGCTTTTTACTGCATTGTAACAGTTTGACGATATTCTTGGCGGCCCTTTTTTAGATAGCTTTGCTTTGAAATTTGAGCACGGCCCAAAACGCAAACACTAAGCGATTGTGATCTGCTGGCGATGTGCGCGTGAGCGATCCAACTCACCTCGCTTTTGGTCAGGTTCCGCTTTTTTGCGCTGTGGATGTGTCGGTGACAGCGGACATCCGTTGCACCCCCTAATTCAACTGCGGATTGTCTCCTAGTGGTGTTATTTGGTAGCGTATCGCACCCGGATAACCTGTAGTACAGTTGTAATATGCTGCCACGGCGCAGGATCAGCGATGGGATTCCGTGCACACGTCCGATCTAACCACGATGAAGTAACACAGATTTATACCTTCTTGCTCTCTGATTTCAATATTCAAATCCGGCGATTCACTCACTCGTAACCGCCAACAGATTCAAAAAGATCCGTTAGTCACTTGTTGTGTGCCGAGTGCTAGTTAGATGATTTGCTCCTGACCAGTTTCTGACCCACTGACACTCCTTGTGAACCTAATATGCAGTTCCACTAATTCCAGTCGGCACTGGTTCTTCTCTTTATCTGCACACAATTGGCTGTGCATTCTTAACGGTGCATTGTCATCGCATTCAACGGTAGTGTATGGATGCCTTCATCTCAAGTACGAAGGATTTTTCGATGCCGCCGCCGCCGTATGTGGTGGGGTCATTTATTGGCTACATTGCTACTTTTCATCTGCACGTATAGTGTCTGATCGTTCACTTAGTTAGCTATGGTACGTGACAATAAATGCTTTCGTTATCGGAGTCTACGTGCCGAACGCAACCATAGAATCGAAGCTGAAAGTAGCAGTCCAGTTGACTGCACCACGAAGTTAAAGGGAGAGTTAAAGGAAACCTTAGGAAAGTGTGTTGCTAGGAAGTTTAGACTGTCACCTAACGTTCCGCCTTGCATATGTCCCGTGGTTAGTTAGGAAAAGAAAAGTAAGTCAAGTGCCGTCACCTCAGTCATTGGACGCACTCCCTTACGGACTAAGCGTCGTAAATGTCAGTTGAGTCAACCCCCGCTTTCGCGTTTTTCGTCTACTGGACGTACCAACTCCAGACCACTTGCTTTAATTATGTGAGGTCACGGTTCAATCATTGTCAAGTCTGCTATACGAATTCGGACTTCTCTCGTTCTCAGTCCCTTGAAAAATGGTGCTTAAATACAATTTACCGATCAGCAGATACGCTTCTGATGGAAGTTGCTTATAGCACACTTTGATCCTAGTCACTTTACGCATTTCAGCAGCACCGTTCTTGCCAGCCATGCTGCATTTGGCCGCACTGCGTCCTTAAGTCACTTTGCACTCGTTGTTCTAGTTCCGCTTCATGGAGGCTAACAGGGAAACAGGTGGGTACTGAACTGTAACATCTGCTTTCACTCAAGTGCATCGATCCGTATCGCAGATCGACAACAGTCAACCGAGCGGGACCTGTTGTAGGTGCATGTGCATGTTCATAGACATCTCCTGAAAACTGGAATAACTGGCAAAATTCTGAGAATATAACACTCAAGCACACATTTAATTGTCTTTACCGTTGACCGTTGCTGGAGTGTCTGTTGACCTGCAAACCCATGGTAACAAGTTCGTTTTCGTTGGTACATCATCTGGCTGACTACAACACATTTACATAGCTAACATAGAACAGGTTACAACAGGTATTAGTAATGGAGTAGAAAGAGCATCCCTGTTTCGACTGGTTCACACGATTGAATGTGCGACAGCTGACAACGGGAGAGCCAGAGCCCTCACAAATTGTTTGTACACACATAGAGGAGGGTAGTGAAGACGGATGGCGATCGCTTCTACCACTGCAATCATGCGGCATTTGATCACACTGAATCGGACTCCCCTCACGCGATAGATCGGACGGAAGGCCTTTGTGATAACAACCGAGTGATTAGTATCGACCAGATGCGCGACAATCACAGTGATGCAATTTTTGGCTCCTCCCCGACACAACCACTCTGAGTGAGGCTCTCGTACACGTCTTGTGGTACGGTCTATGTAGCTTGTCCCACAGGAACAAGTAAATTGATACACACAGAACTAGGTAGCATCCACCGACAATTTATCCTTCAGTTGTTGACTTAACGTAAGTTTAGAGGCGAAGCAAATTCGCAGCTACCCTGCGCAATACGTGTTCCTGATTGCACTTCTGAGTCTTACGCTAATAAGTGCGGCTGTGTTACTGCCTGTTAAAGGAAATGATGAATACACATTTTTCTTTTCTTCTCTATGTATTTTAACGCCTCGTTGGTCAGACAGCATATTTCTGTCAATGAACGACTCGGGGTAGCCCTAATTATTTTTACGCGCTCCTATGCAATTGTACTTTCTGAGCAAATTTTCATCACTCTTTGGGTAAGACACCGTAAGTAAGTAAATAAGACACTGTTGTTGTGACACTAGACTACTTTACTTCAACTGCTTCACCGTCACCTTCACATGTCATGAAACAAACTTGTTCTCACTGCCATGTGTTCATATCGTTTAATTTTCCAGTCTGTGCTTTGCCACGGTTGATCACATGAAGGCCGTCGCAAATGAATTGTCAGCAAAGCAAGGAGACCTGTTCGAGGTATGTGCGTGGTGATACAGGCCACCGATGAGGCTCTTGTTCCTTTCATTGTGCATTCCCACCACATTTTCGCTAAACCGACTTATCCTAAGCTTGTAATTTTGTTAAATTTTTCAACTTCCTACCACATATTCGTTGTCTGACTTCTCAGCTAACCATTTTGGCTTTGTTTTCGGTCGTCCACATTTTGGGAATGCGCTATGATACCGTATGTACAGTTCCTACCCTTCGGCGACCACTTGCACTTCGTCCTCTAGGTTTCGCCTCATCGAGGAGCCTGTACACCGTCCCTTGGTGAACAGCAGTGGTCGCACATGAAATGACAACTGGTGTGGCTTTCGTGACAGCCAAGTGAGACCACGTACTTTAGCTGGGTTATCGGTTCACTCGAGCCATTAAGAGTACGATCATCTTCTTCCGAAGCTCTTATCTCCACACTCATTACGCCGCCTGCGTTAACCAGTTTTGAAAAATTCACATAGGTGCGGATTGTCCGTGATTGTTGCCCGGAGGTAGGTTCGCAGTTGAACGAAGTTCGCTCTAGTCGAGTGCTTATACGCTACAGGTGCTTCAATGCCGCTGCCATCGCTTTACACTTAGGTGCCTGTAAACAAAACCTGATGTTGTAGACAAAGAACTCGAATGTCAGTTCCCGGGTTTGCAACCACCACGAAGTAGAGCAAGCGCGCCTTGTTGACGATTCATGACAGGACGAATGGATCAGCTGCTTCCTTTCCGGATGTACAGAGACTATCTGACTAATTGCATCCGTGATAACTCATCTGGAAATCTCGCTGTCTGCTAAGCACAACTTGTGTGAAAATCTAACGATGGGTCACTTCACAAAACCAAGCGTTATAGGTGCCGTCGTTTATTTCTTTTGAGCGGCCGTCTTGATAGTGGATTGCGACTCACTATCTCAGTTGGGACCACCATTCACCTACAACCGAGTCTGGATTATTCCATTCACAGGGACCAAGGTGCTCCTCATCGTTTGACAATAAAGCAGACTGTACTTGACATATTGTGCGTGATCGTTCTATGGCTTTGCGTCGGTAAATGTTCAAGCTTAGTTTGAGTATCAAGAATCATTAGTGTCAGCCATGTACGCTCTATTCGCATTCACTTCTCTTGTATTTAAGCAGCTATTCATGGAAACGTCCCATCCTAGGTAGTTGTATCCAATGCGAGCCTATGCAATCGTTGAATATCGTCATCGTCATTGTAAAAACTATACGAGACATAAACTAAGCAATCGCACTATACGGGGCAAGGAAACTCCAGGCAAATGAACCTATACTATACGCACGGTCTGTGCAAATAAATTAAAACGTAAATTCCTGTTACATTGGTTCTATAATACAAATTAAATACAGTAATCAACTTACGAATAGGTTTGCAATCGTAATGGGTAAGGGAAGAAACTGAAGTGCGTGCGGCGACACGGCAAAAGGGTACAGCGTAGCAGTTTACTAATCTGCAGACTGTCAATGCTGAAATGTTTGAGGTTGGGGAGTCAAAGCTTTGCAGATAATGCGAAGTGAAGACGTAACGTGTTTCCTAATACCAGTGATAGAAACAAACATGTATAACTTTCTGTATGCACATCAGTTTGGCTGAATATTCAAAGTGCTCTTTGGATTTTACAATCATTATTATCAAATGCACGTTGGCCGAGGTTGAAGAACAAACCTCAGCTTATGTGCAGCAAATATATATATATATATATATATATATATGTTGTATTCTTGTTGCAGTATTGATGCTTCTTCACCGCAGTTGGGCTAAACCAACTTACACTTAAACTAGGTCTTCTTAGGCCGGATAAATTTCATCCCACTTTATTTGGTTTGTTCTGCCTACCTGAATAATATTCTATTAGCTGGCCACGTTGCTTACGCTAATTGCGCTTATCTTCGGTAATTTTGTTGCGTTTGTATCATTTTTAAGTAACTTGTGGACATTTCTTACTTATCGCGGATTCATCGCTAACCAACTTACTTCGTATGGTAATTTAGGGAAGAGTTATGCCACCGTATCTGTATGCATTATTGGATTTATTTTATTTCAGCTTGTCGTTTAAAGTGAATGGCTGTTGTTGGACATCCCCGATGTGACTGCGCTTGATGTGCATGTTGACAAGGTGACTACCTGTCTGTTACCCACTACCTTGTTCATACTGGCTCCACGCGACAATTGGTCGTTGCTGGAGGGGACGGGGGTGCAGGGTCCTTGTGGCCGTGTTAGGCTCGAAGAGTGGTTCCATGCACTCAGTGTGGAGCAGACTACGGTCCAACCATCGCCTTGTGTGCGCTTGATTCCCCAAATACAGCGTGCTTGTGTTTGCCTGTGAAGGAATGTGGGCCGGCTCCGTTGATGAAACGGGGCTCCCATCCACATGCCTCTCGGTCTTATTCCTTCGGGTTTACACTGGATATGGGGTGTGTGGTCGGAGGTATGGGTGGTGCAGCGCAAGCCACGCATGTTCCCTCTGTAGGCGCAGGCGTCCTGTGGCTGGCCACAGTGACAGGCAAATCCGAAACCGGATGCCGCCAACCATGTATGAACAGCTGACTAATGAACGGTTTGCAGAGTACCACAACACCTGGGAACATATGGGAAACGGAAAGAGAAAAAACAGATTGATGAAAATGCAATCAGTGGAAAAGAGTCTCACAACAACTTCGCCATTGGGTACGGTTCCGGTCCATGTCTGATGGCGTATCCAACCATCTGTATTCATTATCCCTAGGCCATCAACTTGGGAGTATGGAATGCCCCACCTTGACTAACTGCTATGTCAGCGTCTTGACACCGCAGACCCAGGTTGCGTGTTGACTACCTCTCTGTCGCTTCCAATCAACGCCGGTGCATGGAAACAAAGCGCGTCGTGGTAACGGATTAGCGAGCATACGGAGGACGTGCTCTGGCCACCGGAGCGCACGTAAAAGAAATTATGCAGATCAGTGGTCGGCGGAGACTTTCTGTCTTGAGGATCCGACGTCGAACGTCGTCATTGCTACTGTGATGGTTCCGACGTACACCAACGATGCTCTGGAGGCAGCGGTGATCAAAAACAGACAGTCTTTGGACCTTGCTCGCTCGAACGGACCAGGTTTCGCAGCCATATAGGAGCACTGCTAGAACTTTAGCTTTGTAGACTCGACTTTTCAGGGAAAGGCTGAGTTGACGCAGGCGCCAGAGATGTCGGAGGTTTGCAAAGGCATCTCTGGCTTTGGTAATGTGCAAATGAATCTCATCCGTCAATCCGCTCACACTGATGCAACTCCCGAGGTACATGAAACTGTGGACCACTTCCAAAGGATAGCCAGAGTGGGTGCGAGTATGAGCAGCTTCTAACCAGTTCTGGAGGAAGACTTTGCAATTGGAAGTGGCAGAGGTCATGTCAATCAAGATACAGACATCTCCAACCTGCACAGGATGTCCTGCACAGCCTGCGAGGAGTCACAGCTTACGGCGATGTCTTCAGCATACTCCAAGTCACGGAGCCGTTCACGCTGGAGTAACTCGATGCCACTAGACCCACAGTTTCTCAGAGCTCTCTCTAAGATGTGATCCATAGCGAAGTTGATCAAGCAGAGTGATGCGGGGCACCGCGTGTCACGCCACTAGTGATACTACGGGGGGACAAAAGTCCGCCCTACACCCGTACCCGGCTGGAGGTTCGAGAATAAATGGCTTGAAGTATACTAACTACTTCACGGGTGCTCCGCTTCTCAACAGACAAATTCGGAGAGCAGCTCTGTCAAATGAGTCAAATGGTGCACGTGTATGCAAGATACAAACGACTGTAGGCCGGCTAAAACCATCACGGCGGATTGTAGAGATGTGATCAGTACAGTCCCGACTTCAGCGAAACCCAACCTGTTCTTCACATATGGGTTGTTTGCCTACTCGACTGAGGCTTCGTAAAAGCACTTTGGACGCAACGTTTAGGAGGCCGATCCCTCGGTAGTTTGCGCAATCCGTTCGATCTTCTCTTTTGAAGATTGGCACGATGTCCGCTAGGCCCCAGTCATATGGGATGCCTTCTGTGGTCCAAATCTCTTGAAGGAGAGTGGTCAACTCAGAAAGGAGAAACGGGCATCTATCCTTAAAAGGAGCCGGAAACAGTTCATCGGGGCCGGGAAATTTGTGGCGTTCTAGAAGTCGTAGCTCATAGGCAAACTCGGTTTCAGATGGCGGTGAGGTGCTTACACACCAGGGAACACCGTGGATAGGAGAAGGACAACTCGTGGTTAATGATTGCCAGTTAGACTGCAGTTAAAAGTGCGCTGTCCAGGGGCATAACAACTATTTTTGCCTCCCGGGACGGTGGTAAAATTTTCGCCATACCTGTGGGCTGAATAGGCGCCTGACGGCCACACAATCGGCTCGGGGAAAAGGGCACATTAGTTTTCGATGAAATGGATGATAGTTTTGGACACTGAAGTAAATGTGGTGAAAGTGACCACAATGGGACAAGGAAGGGATTGCTGGGACAAACGTTTGTACAGCTTTGCCTCGTGGCATAAATGCGTTGTTGGTCATACAGAATAACATTTACATCACCAACCCTCAGCTTATCCGGATATTTTGACCTTTATATTTGGTATCGAACAGTCGACAGTACTAACAATGCCGCCCCCTATCACATTGCGCCCGGGGCGGATCGCCCCCCGCCCCCAAATATGCTAAGCCACTGCTGGCCACCCATGGGATGAGTTTCTTGTCTTCTAGGATGGCGACAATCCGAAGACACGGTCAAAGCGAGACTTGACAACATGAACAGGCCCTTCAGACGAATGAATTGCGAACCTGCCAGTCACGCAAGAGGCATACACGGATGGCCACACTCCAGATGGAAGCATAACAACGGGGGGTCAAAAGTTACGACAGTCTTGTTAGTGGGCCTTAGGATCCTCACTTTTGTTATCAGTCTTAGCAATAGATGGTCCTGTGTAGAATACTGAGTCCTGGTTTGGGGTGCTAATTTACGT